ATGTGGATGCTCTATCCATGGCTAAAAGAGGGATGCTGAAGTCCCCTACTATTCTGAATTGCTGTCTATTTCTCCCTTCATATCTGTTAATATTTGCTTAACATAAGTATGCCAATGTTGGATACTTATATATTTATGACCCTTGTATTTTCTTGATGAAACGATCCCTTTATCATTATATTATGACATTTCTCGTCTTATTACCATTCTTGGCTTAAAGTCTATTTTGTCGGATATAAGTATACCTAACTCCTCTTTCTTTTGGTTTCTACTTACATGGAATCTTTTCCCATCACTTTACTTCAAGTCTGTCTTGAAGTGTTTTTAAGGCTCAAGTGGGTCTCTTGCAAGAAGCACACAGTTGGGTCTTGTTTCTTTTTTAATCCATAGCCATTCTGTGCCTTTTGATTAATGAATTCAATATATTTACATTTAGAGTAATTACTGATATGTAAAAAGAACTTATTAATGCCATTTTGTTAACTGCTTTCTAGTTATCTTCCATTTCCATTGTTTCTTCTTTCCCCTGTCTCTGCCTACCTTGCTAAATTGATTATTGTTTATGGTGATATGCTCTTTCCCCTTTATTTGTCTTTTCTGCATATGCTCTAAGTTTCTCCTATATGGTTACAATGGGGTTTACATAAAACTTCTTCTAAATAGAACAGTGAATTTTAGGCTGTTAAGATACGCATTCTGTCCTATCTCCATTGTGTCTCCCTCATGGTTTCAAACAAGGATCCAAACAGGGTCCCCAGTCTACCCTCTGGCTCTGACCTCTCCTGGATTCTCTATTTTTTCAAACTGCCCAATCATATCTAGACCTGGGTTAATTATTTCATCACATGTTAAAAGCCTTCTTCCAGTAACTTGTTTTAGTAGAAAGAGTACTCTATTCATTCTAAGTCTTTAATGACTTTCCACCCTGGAGAACTGAGCAGAAGACTTAGGAAAAACCAATCTCTGAGAAATGTAAAGGGCCCTTCTCTATTAGACAAGGTCCTTTTGCATCTCAAGTTCCCTGGGAAATAATCACAATAATAATTTTACTCCTTTCGCCACTTTGTGATTTCTGCTCACAAAAGAAGGTGCATTTACCCCTTCTCTGTGCCAAGGGAGAATACTGTTGAGACTTCCAAGTGCCCTTAGTGCCAAACAGCTTTATCCCAGCCTGTGTTACCTTTATAATACAGCCTCCTGCCCTCAGCACCCAGCTCTTGTTAACACTTCAATGGTATGTCTGATTTTTCTCTCACAGGCTCTCCCATTTTCATGAGAGAGTCCCTCAAAAAGATGGGGACAGTTGAATAAGTGATGAAATGCTAACCTTCAACATGCATGCAGGGATCACCATTTATCAAAATACTTGCATATTTATTATCCTCACTATAGGTCCATGAGGTAGGTGGAATAAGTATTATTCACAAATTACAAATAAGAAAAGAGGCACAGGGAGGGTAAAGGACTGCCTCAAAGTCACATTACAATGAGCTAATTGGTGACAGAATTTCACTCTAAACAGCATTTTTGACGCCTTATCTACTGCTTTTTAAACCCATATGACACCTATCCTAAGCGTCCTCTCTTACTCCACCCCTAAGTGTTCTTTCTTTGTGCTCCTTACCTTTCATTTTTCCAGCCAGCTCATATATTCTTCTTGGCTCAGTGGATCGTTTTTCCAGAGCTGTGAATAAGCCACCTCTGCCCCAGTGGCCAGAGTCATCTGAGAAAAGAAAGAGAAAATTTTCTTCTGTAGGAGACAAAGTCCAGTCCATAATTTAAAAAACAACAAAAAATAAAGGTACACCAAATAACTTGTAGAAGACAGTTTTTTTCTTCCCTTTGAAAAATCAACCTAATTTCCTAGAAATATCATAGGTTGGACTTCTCAAACAGGTTTAGGTTTTCTATAATAAAGCTGGCCATCATAACAAGAAAGTAATGAAAGCAATGAAAAAATTAATGTACTGAAAGAGCAAAATCTCTGTGGTACTTCTGTAATTCCTAAGAGATGACTGAGGAAGGATGGAGAGTAATTATAATGTAACAAAAGAGCATCGAAGCACTGGTACTACAATACATGACTCCCATTTTACAGGTAAGAAGAGGAAAGGTTAAATGACTTATTCAAGCTGGTGCTAACACAGCTGGTTAGTATCTTGCATTCAGAGTCATTCATTCATACTACTGAAAGTAGTTAGCATGTACTGCATGTAAAGCATTGTTCTAAGCACTAGGGTGATAGCAGTGGACAACAGAAAACCCTGCTCCCATGAAGCTTACTTTCTAGTGCCACGAAACAGTCAAATAAGCAAATACATATGTAATATGTCAGATGGTTATATGTGTCAGCAAGTTAAATAAGGTAGAAAAGGGGACAGAGAAAAATGGAGGGAGGAGGATGGGGTCTGTTCTATACGAGGCAGTCAGAGAGGTCTCTCTGAAACACAGACATTTAAACACCACTTCTTGGGTTCCAGGCAGAGAAAGTAAAAAATAAAAAGTGCAAAGACTGTAAGGAGGATATGTGCTTGGAATTTTGCTTTGTCTGAAAGAATTCGTTTGTCTTACACATGTTGCCTCCTTTTACCCTCTTAAAAACCTTGTGAAGAGAATAATGTAGATATTATCCCAATATATGGATAAGGAAGTTGAGGCCCAGGAATATTGGGTTACTCAAGGAGGGAAACAAGAAATAAGAGTCAAATCCAAGTCTCTTGATTTTAAAATTCATACTTTTTTTGACCACACAAGACTATACTGGGGCCATCAATCACCACTAGGTGAGTATTCTGCTTCATCCTCCCCAGATCTTGGCACCATAAAGATTGAGGCCCCACCATGGGCCCATATTTCTTCTTACCGACGCACTGCACAATCACAGCATCCTCTGCCCCAGCCTGTGGGTGGGTGACATCACCACTGACATACATGATGGAGGTCGAGTTTGAATCTTCGTAATCCAGTTGAGCTGAGCTCTCATCTTCCCCACCCTCTAGGTCCTCTGGTTCACTCTCCTCCGAAGGCAGGCAGAAGGACTGATAATTGTTAGACTCCCACCAGGCCATTCTTTAACCGGCCAGAGAGAAAAGGAAATTAACTGGGAAAATCACACTTTCTCTTGGAGCATGGTTTGTATTGCTATTCACAAACAGTAAGTGCCAAGTGGAAATGCAATTAGAAACTCACCCCAATTGAGTTTTCTGCCTATTTACAAACAAACAAAAAGGCTTACCAATTAGCCTAATGCTTCCTGACTATACTTCAATAGTGAGCAGCCAGCAGATATCCCTGTTTTTAAGAACATGACTAAAAGAGACTGCGAGTCAACTACTTTTTGTTAGCTACATTAAAATCTTAAATTTTCTTGCCTCAACTGCATACATCGTCTCTGCCTTAGGCACTCGGACTTTTCACTTAAGTAAATTGTTTAGGTTAAAGTTTAGTCTTTAAAAAAATATTCTATTACCAACAGGAGTTACCAGCTTTACAGAAGTTTTCTGCAATTTTAAAGTGATGTTCAAGCCCTGGCTGGGTAGCTCAGCTGGTCAGAGCATCATCCCGACATGCCGAGGCTGCAGCATGTGCCAGTCAAGACACATACAAGAATCAATCAATGAATGCATAAATAAGTGGAATACAAATTGATGGTTTTTTTCTATCTTTCTAAAACCAATAAATAATTTTTAAAAAGCAATGTTCAACTGTGGACTCACTATACAGTAGTGATTCCTTTACCAACTGTACTCTCAGCTTTATTAATAATAAAGTCAAATAACAGACACATACTTTTTTTTATGTTCCACTTCTTCCTTTTTCCTCTTCTTCTCCTCCATTAGTCTCTTTCTCTTCACTAATGCTTCTTCTCTTTTCTGCCTTCTGTCCTCCAGCTCTTCTGGACTTAGAATCCTCTTCCTCTTGGTAGACCCTTCCACAAGCCCTGGGATGAGAACCTGTAGAAGAACAAGATCACAAGCAAGAAGTTTGGGGGCTGTCTCTTCCTTCATGAGCTTCACTCATCCCTAGAACACACTGTATGGAGGCAACATGCTTAAAATTTCACAGAACACTGCATCTCCATGCCACCTGGTATGGTAGGAAGGCACTTCAATTTACACTTCCATCACCTATCTCCACACAGGCATGGCAACCAGGACATGGTGCTCTAAACTCAACCAAAGCACTGGCATGGTTGGTACAGCAATATATCATTTTGGTTAATGTCATTAGGAATAAGGGAATTCAAAAACAGTAACTTTTAAAACATTGAAAGTTTACTTTGCAGGACGCCATTTCAGGTTTAACCCCTTTTAATGGGAATTTTCCTACAATGTATATTTCTTAAACAGAATATTTCAGTATCATGATTATCTTAATGATAGCTAGTATTCAATGACCACACACTAAGTGCCAAATAATGTGGACATCAGAGATACTGATTGCTTCCATCTCTTAATAACATGGGGTCATGATTATGAAGAGCAGGGTATGTAATAAAGTTATCCCAGGGCTGGCTTAGATGGACAGAGGTGCTTTTACCTGCATTAAATGGCAAAATACTTTCGCCTGGATAATGTTTTTTATGCCAATTTTCTAAATAGTTTTTAAACTGCAGTAAAGTTAATTATACTTATATTTCTTGTTTTTAGTGATTATATCTATTATTGCTACCTTAGAAATTAAAATAAACTGCGAGAAGCTTCAAAAGCAAGTCACTTCATGAAGATTATGAAGCAATGACAACTAGCTTACGCATAAGGGCTGTAAGGACTACACACACAAAGGTCATCAACAGTGAGGCTGGCGGCAGCATCTGCCAGTGCAATTTATGCACAAATGGAGTTTAAAAAATGTATGTAAAGGAACACTGTTCATCCCTGATCTGTCAGCCAGGGAGTATGGGTAAGAAGACATCAGAAAAGGCCTAAAATCTCTACAACACAAAGGTTTATGAAAAACTAGCTCAAACACATATTTGTTCTTGGGAGAAGTTCTTCATTTTATGATGTTTGAACACGCTCTTTCTCCTGCTGGATAGTTTCCTTTGTGGGGAGAACAGTTTTTCCTTCAGTATGAGTTTTATTCAGTTTTGATTTGTCAAACTTGACTTCAAGTGACAAGTCTGGCTTATCACTCCTCTTGACAAAAGAAAGGCAGAAGGCTGGAAGACTGGAGAAAGGCAGAGAGCTGGGGGAAGACTGCTCCACACACTAGCTGAGGTAATTATATTTCAACAAATACAAGTTCTTTCTTAATAAATCACAACCAGCATCATTTTTTATTCTCTTAGAATGAGAATTTGGAAGAATTTATTATTTTACATAAATTAATAGTTCTTACACTGCCTTTATTTCGGAGTAACCGGCCCTCTTGACTAGTTTTCTCCAAAAGGGTTTTCTGAAGATTCACCAGTTGCTCAAATGATTTTCTGTCTTCTTTACTGGGCTCCCTAGAATAGTCTTTCCCTTCAAATAAGTACATATGATGTTCTAAGAATATAAAACACAGAAAAAGAAATGTTAGATACTAAAGAAAAACGAATTAGTTGTATTCAAAGCAATACCCAGGGTGAACAAAAGAACAGCCTGGGCCTGACCAGGTGGCTCAGTTGGTTGGAGCATCATCCCCTGCACCAAGCGGTTGCAGATTCAATCCCCAGTCAATGTACACACCTAGGCTGCTGGTTGATTTTTAGTTGGGGTGTGCATGGGAGGCAACCAATCAATGTTTCTCTCTCACACTGACATTTCTCTCTCTCTCTATTCCCCCTCTCTCCCTCTCTCCCTTCCTCTCTAAAATTAATAAACATGTCCTCAGGTGAGTATTACCCCCCACAAATAACCCCAAAACAGTCTATAGTTCTAAACGGGCTAAGACTAGCCTGTGATGAAGGTATTGCATTTCCAATGCCATTGGCATGATGGATTTGGGATCCGCACAGAGGTCTCACACATTTGCTTTTCAAAGGAGGGCATGGCTAAAGCCCTTTTTGTCATCTCTAGATGGTCCGTGATACCTCCACCCTATTGAGTCTTGTATCACTCATCACTTATCATGCCACACTATTCCTCAGCATAAATCTCCTGACATTAAGGTAACTAACTTAGAACATATTCTAAACACACATTTAATACTCAACTCTTTCCTCCCTCTTTTCTAAAATATTTTTTTAAAAAGTGACAAATTGATAGGAAAAATGAAGAATCAAAAATACAATCCCTTAGATTTACAATAGTTTTTCCAGATCTCATTAAACATTTTCATGAGCCTTACCACGATCCTGGCATAACCAATCCCACTTAAGAAAGGGAAACCTGAGACTGAGATAGGGATTAAGGGACTCCCCAATTCTTACTGCTAATACATAAAGAATCCAGAATTTTCTGACTCTAAGGCCCATGTGCTCTTTTCAGTATACTGTTGTCCACAGAAAGAGGGAGAGATAACAGGCCAGCAAATAATTACTACAGCAATAACAATAACAAGAATGTAATCTGGAATAGGACTGTATGCTATCAGGGCAGTATCACATTAGAATCCTGCAACTGTTTAAAACAGAGATGCAGACATTAACAGCACCATTTTAGAGATTGGGACACAAAGGTTCAAACAGGTTGCATGATCTGCCAATGTCATGAATCACTGACAAAAGAAACTCATGACAAAACAAAACTAACAACCACAGAGATGTGAGATAATGATTCTAAGTGAAATGTATTTAACAGCATGTTACCAAAGAATGTATTTTCACAGCATTATGAAATCAGCTATAACTATGTTTTCTCTAGAGAGTACAAGAGCAAGATATTTTCATTCTCCAGAGATAAAGTGCTTCACACCTGTACTCAAATACAACCAGCTTTAATTCTAATAGCATTTGCTAATTAATCAGCAGTGGGCTTTCAACAAGGTACTCTATCAACATGTGGAGAAAATAAAGAGCTGAAAAGTGCCAAATAAGATCAACATATGTAGCTACCTATTGCGTGAATTCTCAACTCACAAACATGCTGCACTGCCTGAAAAAATCATTGTTTTTTGGCAGGTGGACTGTGTGAGAAATATAATTATTTTTCTGAAAAACAATGAAGTGTTATTTTGTTCTAGTAAACATTAGAAAAAAAAGCTGAAATTAATCTAGATTGAGTGCAGAAATGGGTCAAAGCTTCAGTATCTAATGTAATCAAAATGCAACCTAAAAATAGTACCACACGCATCTATTTCTTCTCCCATCTAAAACCACTAAGTGCAGTAAAGGGATTTTTAAAAGATATATGTGGCAACAATAAATGTAAACTTCAATAACTCATCGGAAAATGGAAGTTGACTCAAGGGCAATAACAGGTTAAGGACAGTGGAAGCAAAACACAGATGCCTAGTCAAGGTGTGATTATGAGAACAGAAACACTTTGAATCCTCTAAAAGCTAAAGACATTACAAGGACAAGGTAACCCAGGGCAGGGGAACAGAGAGAAATTCTGCACACCAAAAATGGGAGTACCATGAACCTCTGACTCATACTGTCTCTTCAACTTGAGAAAACAGATTTAGTTCAACCCCTATCCCACATCTTCCAAGAAAGAAAACAAGTTGTCCAGTGAAAACACTTCACATGCAGACATGTGGGAAGGACTCCTCAATGCAAAAGCCTACCTCACCAGCCAGTAATGCTGGAATAAGGACCAAGGGCCCATATACCTGTTCAGGCCAGAGCTGCCTGTCAGCTATAGCATTTCACCGGTACATGTGATCAGATGGCCAGAGTATACCAGATATTTCAAGAAAACTAACAATAAGAACATGATTCCCAAACAAATTTTGAAAAAAATAGTAGCAGCAATAACTGGAGGAAAGAGAGACAATGCAGGGGGCAGAGGTATACTTTTTTAAAAAGATAAAGCTTTTAAAAAGTATTCCAGGGAGAATATTATAATAAATGTCCTCGGATTACATCTCTGAAACAAAACAGGGTACAATTATGATAAGCAGAGAACAAAAATCCTTGAAGAATAAAAATAGGATTCTAATATTAAAAAATGTAAAAGACAGCTTGTTCGATCACGTTGGGGCCTGTGGAGGCTGCTGGGAACAGAACTTCAAAATGACAAATAAATGTGGAAGGCTGTGGTCCAAGGTCATTTCTATTGGCTGTTAATGTGGTCTCTGGAACAGGAGGGACCACAAAGCTCTTCTTAAAATTGAAGGTGTTTATGCTGGAGATGAAACTGAGTTCTATCTATGCAAGAGACGTGCTTATGTGTACAAAGCAAAGAACAACACAGCGACTCTTCTCATGGCAAACTGAACAAAACCAGAGTCATCTGGGGAAAGGTAACTTCTGCTCATGGCATGGTTCATACTAAATTTTGAAACAAACTTCCTGCAAAGGCCATTGAACACAGAGTCCATGTAATGCTGTACCCCTCAAGGATTTAAACTTATTGAAAGGTAAACTAAAAATGTAAAAAAGAACCACAAGAAAAGTCCGAGTGGCGCCCTATAGAAGAGTGCCGGCTGCTCGCATGCCGATCTCCCCACATCCTGTCACAACCATCCAGATCAAAAAAAGATAAAACCACCCGAATCCATGCTGACTACAAAATTAAGAGTCAGAGAGCACTACAAACTTCAATCTGCAGGTACAGAAATGAATATTCAAAACCAGCTGGACCAGCTCCCACACCCACACTAGAGTGGAGAGTCAGGAGAAGCTGCACAGAAAGAGGAGAGGGTTGCACCGCAAATCCCAAAATGATGAGAATAGGTCTGAGACCTGGTAGATCACAGCAGTGGCTACCAAGAAATTGAAAGGAAGAAACTAGAAAGTACATGCAGCCAGCAATTTGGGAAAACACTCCTTCTGAGGAAGAGGGAAAGACAACTTAGAAGGGGGAGACATGCCCTGGCAGCTTTATGACAAAGGATAAGAAGGAAGCAAGAGATGGAAATTCTGAGTCCTACAAAAACAAAAGAGAACACAAAACCAGAAGTCAAACCAACGCTACTCCTCACCAAAAAAAGGGAAGCACTATCTAGTAAAGACTCAGTACTTCTCTGTACACACGGAATAAGGTTCTCTTGAATTAAGACACCTAGTAAGACTCTCAAACCACACACCTGAGTCCATATGGAATCCTTGCTGCCACTAGTATAGAAAAATAAAGTCATTTCAAAACAACCATATATATCAGGGAACAGCCTTACAAAGCTATCATTTGAAAAAAAAAAAAAACTCTTCAAACAAGAAATTCAAATATTCAAAACAGAAATAGACAAATGTTAACTAAACTCAGAAAAATTAAGAGAAAGACAAAATCATCTCATGATTTACATGTATTGCTCCACTAAAAAATTAAAATTAATGGAACCTAAACCTCACGGGGTATTGTGAAGATTAAGTGAAAAAATAGATATACAGCATGTGTCAGTACACACTTTTGATTGAGCAGAGAATAATCAGTGTTAACTATAATTTAAAAAACAAATCACTACATGGAAAGCACCATACTAAGGACAGTAGGATTTACTAAAAAAGGAGATGTTTGTAAGCAAGGGAGGAAAAGTACAAATTAAAATCTTTGAGATTGATACTGCTATAGCATCAATATCATCAATTTGGTTGAAAGTTCAGCTGTAAGGGAACAGCCAGACAACATCCTGTCAATCTATAAAGAGTTCTTGGATTAAGTAAATCTTAAACAGCATACAAAATGAGAACAGGGCTGGGTAGGAAAAAATGTCCCAGGGAGCAGCACTGAGGACTTTCCATGGGAACTCATTTCATGTTCTAGCTTAGGGTGCCTGTGCCCTTTGTGCTGCTCTCCCCGGCTACTTACTTCCTTCCTCTCTGCTTCCTTCTTCTCCTGGAGGCAAGGCACGAGAGACCCACTGGCTATCTTCGGTTTCTCCTAGGATAGACTCCAGGTCTATTTCATCAATGGTGCTCCCCTCAGAGGACAACAGTTTATCCAAACCAAATTTGAGTATCTCGCCCAACTTGAATGGAGAAAACAAATTCCAGTCAGTTCCCATGAAAACAAACACTGGGTATCAGAGATTTGCTACATGGCTTAAGGACACCAGGCACATTCTTTCCCTGATGCTGGTTTTTCTTCTCTTCCCGTAAGAAATAAACAGGCCATTTAGTAGTTGGATGATGGGTAAACAGAAAGGTGATAAATGATGATCAGAGATGTTGACCGACAATTCTCATTAACAAAAAAACAATTTGAGCCTCCAATCTTTTTTTGTTTAAGAATAACAGTAATTTCTTGC